CCGTCAAGTCTTTAGTCCTTAATGAGAAACCTCCAAGGCCCTGTGGCCATCATTATTCCTTAGCTGCTTGGGAGATATTTCAGATCTTAAACTATTGAGACTGGAGATTCTTTTGCTGTTGAACTGTCTCTGTCTTCAACTGTGATCTTTCTCTTTTGTGTTTGAGGCAGGTACTGTGGAGAACCATCATAGCTAGAGGGGAACAGACCTCAGTTTCTCTAGGGGTTATTGAGGTCATACCTGAAGTCACCACGCCTAAAAGTTGCCAAGATTATTGGGACTGTGGCATCAGAGGAAGCAGCGCTAAAGCTCTGGATACGATTTTTAACACTGATTTTCCACTGGTATCCAGGGCTAAAAGAGGGCTGGGATAAAGGAAGGCCTAAAACAGAGAGGAAGACATGACTGACAGCAGGAGCACAGTGCCCACACAGCCAAAGCTGGGGGCACTGGCCAGAAGGTGGATGGGCCAGTGTGCCTTAAGCCTCCACATTCTGCGTTCTCTATTCCACTTTACTTCTCTCCTTAAGTCATTAATAGGAATAACTGTTCCCTTAATCCTGTGTCTATAACCTAACCTCTCCTACCCACCCCCACGAAAACTCAAGCTGCAGAGCATGAGACTAAACCCTCCCAAGTGCTGTAATCCAAGGTATTTTCAAATGAGTAGGCAGGGGAGGGTGGCCAGCAGTGCTACCTTGTCAGTGATCTTTCTTGAGCTGCCTGGCTCTTAGTGCATCCCAACATAATCCACAGACATAAGGAAGCCTATCTGCTCTGAACACTTCCAGTGAAGACTAAAAGCAGTATTTTAAGATCTTTGTATAAACAACTTTTCTGGTTTTTAGCTTTTGCCTGAGATGCTAGGAAACATAGCTCCTTTGAATTTTGGAAGGAATTAATTTGTAGATGACATCATGTGGCATATTTAAATATGGCAGGATTGAAATTTTTTTTAAATTAGCATTTGCTTTTCTTGGTTAAATGAAACCAGTTTAGGGGTAATAATTGCTTAATATGCCTGGCACATTATTGAAATCCCTCATGAGAGGCTCAGAATGAGTCAGAAGGTCAATTTATTTCTTGGCTGGGTTCCTTTCACAACACGGGTTTTCCTGTGCTGCTGTTCGGGAGGAGCAATTAAAACTTTGTGTATTCAAAGCTTTCCAGCTGAATTCTGGCCCCATCAAATGATATCAGAGCTCTGGCTTTTGCCTGGTGGTGCACAGCTTTCATCTGTTAGTGAATCTTTTGGGACTTTTCCCCAAGCTTAACACCACAAGATCCAAACTCTAAGGGATTCCCTGCTTATTGCTTTAGCAAACCCTTTACTGTATCTCTGCCATCACAAGGGCTTTCTCCAGCTTTTAAGACACTTTGATTGCATTATCTCTGGGCTACACACAGAACCAGAAAGTCTTTACATTACCACTTTTTCGAGAGTAGTCTTGCCAACTTTCACTAGGCAAAATCCACGGAAAGTTTGGTGGCTACCTGAGTTTCATAAATCAGTAGCTTACAACTGCAAACTTCCAACTCCACTTGATCTACACACTAGATACCTATCGGACTTCAGGGTGGGAAGAATTTATAACTTCAACCGCCTTTGATGAGTGCTTTCTCAGAAAATCTCACTGAAAAGCCTAGTATATCTCAGTTCTATTTGTGTTTCACTGAAGATGAGCCAGACTTTTATGAACCATAAATGTACTTCGCATCCTATTTTCCATAAAAATTTCCCCTTCTGCTGCCCAGTTTTTCTATTTTTTCTGGCTTTAAATCCTAGGACTTTTATAAAATCAGAAAATGTTACAGTTCAAATGGTATTTTAATGCTCTGTCCAAATACACTGGTTTGAAAGAGGTGTTCTTCTCTACTTTAAGACTTTCTATATCTGAAGAGGTTTGGGGAGCCAGGCAAACAGAGCTTTTATTTCAGTGCTGAGTTTAATGTTGATTAGATTTATGCAGAGGAAGGATTTTTTTTTTTTTCTTGGGCTGGTTGCTAAAGAGTAATGACAAAAGTTTTAATAGTTAATGAGCAGAATGTTATCAAATCATCAGCTTTCAAACATGGGAATTTTATGCAACATTAAATGCTTATTCAAAGGAGGCTATAATGATAGTCTCATGTACAGCTTTTGTTATACTGCTAAAACTGCATTATCATTGCCTTACCTCAGAGAAAAAAAGGAAACATTGTTTTGGTAATGGCGTTAATAGATGACCTAAAAGGCATAATGTACAACTGCATCAAGGCAAAAAACAATTATTTTGTTCCAGAACTCTCATAAGGGTCTAGTAATTGATTAATCTTTATTTTTGGATCCTAGGTAGACGGAGTCCGAGAGAGACTGTCAGAGCAACAGTACAACAGACTTGTGGATTATATCACAAAGACATCCTGTCACCTGGCCCCCAGCTGCTCTTCCATGCAAACACCATGCCCTGTGGTAGCTGCAGAACCTCCCCCCTCCACTGTTAAAACATACCATTACTTGGTTGATCCACATTTCACTCAGGTCTTCATTAGTAAATTCACCATGGTGAAAAATAAAGCCCTGAGGAAAGGGTTTCCCTGAGTTCCTTCTGAGATGCTGACTGATTCCTGCTTGTGTGATTTAGTTTTTGGGTTTGAGACAGGGTCTCGCTGTATTCCCATGCTGATCTCAAATTCTGGGATTCTCAATCTTCCCACCTCAACCCACAAGTAGCTGGGACTGCAGGCACATGCCACCATACAGGGCTGCCATTTTTTAAAAAAGCTTCATCAGCTTTAACATCCGCTATGGACACAAGGCCAGCAGTTTCTTATAGTGTCACAGTTTCCTTTAGTATTCAGATCCTTACCTCTAAAAGGCACTTCAAAAGTTCCAAAAAAAATTCTCCTTTCCCACTTGGAGACAATGATTAACAGGGCCCTTTATGTTCTTACCACATATAGAAGATGCATTTTTTGTTGTTCCATGACACTTGCAAAAATTTCTACTTTAACTTGGATCTCTTAACACTGTTCCATCACAGAATGTGACCAGGCCTTAGAGTGGAGAACGGAAGTTAAAACTTCAAGTTGCATCTGTTTTTGGGCTGAGTCACCAGCTTGATCTCATGCTCCTTTGTCTGCAAAGGCCTAGGATTCTTTAAATGAAATGCTTAGGACTTTGTGGCTTGTGACATCTGTCACTTAACTGCAATGCTGTTCTTTTACTGAAAGCTGCTATGTGTATTTCCTCTGAAGTCTGCATTTTACTAAAATTTACAAAACAGTATCATTACTGTCCAGATGCATTTTAGAAAAAGTGTTTTTCCAGTTTGTGTTTTAGTAAGCAAACTTTGAGTAAATCTTTTGTCCTATATTGAATCCAGTCCCAAAGTGCTCAAGTGAATTTGCCTGGTTCCATAAACAAAACATAAACATACATCATGGGAACTCCCTGGTACACTGTGGAGCACACAAGAACCCCAATATTAATGCTAACAATACCAGTCCAGATCGTTATTCTGTGGAATTGACTTAACAAAGCATTAAGATATTCCCAGTGTCTAATATTTCTAAGAATGGGTTTGACTCAAATCTTGGGTCATCACATATCTTAAATGTTCAGTAAATCGTCCAGTAACTTAGAACGTTTGCTGATTACATTTAAACTTGGGTCTACAGCTTGTTACCTACAATTTTGAGATACTAAGAGAATGCAATTTTAAATGCTCATTATTGGGTTTTTTTTTGGAGACAGGGTCTCATTCTGTCACCCAGGCTAGAGTACAGTGGAACAATCATGGCTCACTGCAGCTCAAGCTCACTTCCTGAAGCTAAGTGATCTCACTCCAGCCTCCCAAGCAGTTGGGACTATACCACCACCACAGGTATACACCACCATACCTGGCTGATGTTTAAATTTTTTCCAGAGATGAGGTCTCACTGTGTTGCCCAGGCTGGTCTCATACTCCTGAGTTCAAGCACTCCTCTGCCTCTGCCTCCCAGACTGCTGAGATTACAGGTGTGAGCCACCATGCCCAATAACCTCTGGTCTTTAACTCTCACATGTTGGGCTAAGAAGTCACTCTAATTGTTACTGGAAAGCAAGGTTTAATAAACAATTCTGACTATGAAAAATGGCTCTTTCAGTTTGTTCTGTAATACTCATTTAGGAAAGTGACAGTTGTCAACCTCAAGAGTAACTATTTTTAAAAATGTAAATATTAATCCTTGTATCTTACGGTAATTTTGTATATTGATATGAACTATTAAATTGTTTAAAATAAAAGGTATCCTTGAATTACTGATCACCTACAGATGTCTACTGTTACCAACAGGTTTTACAATGCCTATTTTCACTAATACCCGAGTTTAATATAGCTCACATCACTGTGAATTTTACACGAGTTAAAAAAGGTAATACATAGGTTTTGTTACCTTAATAAAGTGACTGATTAAATTAGCTTTGAAGAAAATAAGCGTCTTTTTTTCCAAGCTCTCCAGTATCACTTTGCTTGCAAATAAGCATGAATTAATGTCCTAAGACAACCTCTGAAAAAGTACCACAATCTGCTAGTCATTAGCAGACATTCAATTCTAGTTAAGTAACTTTTTCTGGATTAGATATATAGGCAAATTGTTACATACTGTTAGCTTGTTATTAATAAAGCAATACTGAGTAAGAAACCCTACTTCCTCTATCTGGTGGTGGCACAGCTACCAAATAGTGGCAATGAAGGCCAAGGACAGATTTTATTAATTCTGTCTCTTCTTAGAACCCACATTAGTCTTATAGGTTCATAAAGAACACTTTAATCCATGGCTCAGGACCAAGTAACTGCACCTAGGAGTATCTCAACGAAACGGGCAAACTATTGCAGTTAAAGAGGTGCTAGAACAATGAAGTTTTAAAGAACACAGAAATCAAGTTAGCTTTATCAATAGTTAAATCCCAAACCATTCTGATGCTATTAAAGTGCCCTGCATTATCATTAAGAACTAAGAAAGACTTACTGTCCAAAGTATTTGTTAATTGTTTATTTATCAAGAGAAACTATTTCTTAGCCCACATATTCATGTGTCATAGTTCAGGAGCCCGAGTCATCGACAAACTTCTAGGTAATTCAACCTGAAGAAATTCTGTGAAGAGAAACACAAAGGCTAAGTTAATGATAAACATTCTCTCAATATCCACCATCTTTGAGGATCAACTGAGGTCAATTCCTACTAGTAGATGTCATACCTTGATCACTCACCCTCAGTCACAGAGCACAGTTCAGGCCACCTGGACTCCAAGTTCACTCTCCTTTAAGCTCCTTCTAAGCTCCCTAACCACTCTGAATAGCATTTTTTCCATTTTGGGCATACCACATCTTACTCTGATTTCTCGCTTTCATTTAACAAATTCTGCTTTTTTCCTTCTCAATTCTACCCCCACCCCCATTCCCTCTTATAGCCACATACTGTTTCTGTTCCAAGCAGTATTTATGTTCCTATCTCCAAATCAGCTCTCATAGGTTTTTAAACAATCTTATAAATAATAATGGTAAATATCTAACAAATTTAAATTAGCCTATTAACATCTTCTGATTATAAAAATGCATGCTCACTGTAAATTCTGAAAATTTCAAAGTTAAAGCAGATATGTTACGACTATCAACAACCATTAATATTTTCTTGATCTTTTTTCCTTAATATACATGGTACCCAACTTATGATGGTTTGACTTACAATTTTTTGACTCTATAATGGGTTTTTCGGGGTCTTAAATGCATTTTTGACATGATACTCTCAACATATAAGGTTTATTGGGCTGTAACCCCATGTATAATGCAACTGAAATATTTAGGAACAGCCTGACAAAATAGCAGATTCACATTCTCCAAGTCACAGCACACTCATTTACAGGCCATAAACCCAGACTGAAGTGGCAAATAGAAACTTTACATTCTTCTTCTTTGTTGGGCTTGAATGAAATTAAATCTACATGTAAGATTCCAGAGTAGGAAGTCTCATCAGGTAATTCATACATGCTATCAAGTCAATTTAGTAGATGACTTTTCATCAGCACACCAGTCAGTCCTTTTCTAGATACAGAACTTTAATTCACACTGTCCATGAGGCATGAAGATCTTGTAGATAGAACAGACCAAACCAGGATCTATGGAAAGCCAGCTAGTCACTCGTTAACCTTCTATATTGTTAACAAACTATCCTGTCATAAATACTTTTAAAAAGTGACTTCTCAAAGTGTAACATGCATAATGCCAATCTAGCAATTAACAGCATAAGCTGTAAAAATGATTTTGAACATACAAAGTAATATCATGTCAGCAAGATAACAGACTTGTGAAGTCTCAGGCCCTCAAACCCCACAAGATAATGAACACATAGACCAAAAATTAAAAACTGTTTAGCTTTATGAGAACTCTAGAAGCCAGTTGAACAGCAATCAAAGGAACCACCTATCCAAGAAAAAGCCACACTCAAAGTAGCAGGAAATTTCACGGCATTTTTGCTCACTCTTGCCACACTCCCTCCACAGTGCAATGCAGTCGGAAGAAAACTACCCTGGCTCTTCCCTCAGGACATAAAGAATGGAACTGGCCTGCAATGTTCTGGCTTGTGTGGAGGTGCCAAGGGACTGCTTTCTGTCTTGCCTGAATCAAGAGTGTTAATGGGAATAATGGCATAGTTTGGACATGAGGTTGGGAACAGCTGAAAGCAATCATGAATACCATGGAATGAATGAGCTACAGGGGAACACAGACCTTCAGAAACCTGTGTGCAAGCAATCACAGGCAGAAGAATAAAACAGAACAGCTAAGGCTATAACAGGAGGCTGGAGTCAAACTCAGGAAAATTAAGAAAAACTGAAAGGCAGCTGTGTATAGGAGGAAACTAGTACTAACGCATATGCACAGGCCCAGGGAAGACAAATACATCCCTAGAAAAAGTCTGAGAGGACACCAAGCCTTTAAGGTGGGCTAATCAGTGAAGGCCTTTCCACGCATGGAGCCAGTCTGCAAGGGGACAGGTGGCTGGTTTTACGAATGCCTGAATTTCACAAAAGACCACAAGGCACATAAAGAAATAGGGAAACACAGATGACTAAAAGAAACTAATCTCCACAAATCAACTCTAGAGAAACAGAGGTGGCCAGGCGCGCTGGCTCACGCCTGTAATCCCATCACTTTGGGAGGCCAAAGTGGGCAGATCAGGAGGTCAATACATCAAGAGCATCCTGGTAAACATGGTGAGATCCCACCTCTACTAAACAAATAAAAAAATCATCTGGGTGTGGTGGCACATGCCTGTAGTCCCAGCAGGAGAATCGCTTGAAACCAGGGAGCCAGAGATTGTAGTGAGCCAAAATTGCCGTACTACACTCCAGTCTGGCAACAGAGCAAGATTCAGTCTCAAAAAAAAAAAAAAAAAAAAAAGAACAGAGGCTACTGATTTACTCTATAAAAACTTAAGAACAACTGCCTGAAATATCCTCAATGAGCTAAAGGAGAATGTTGACAACTAAGCAAAATTAGGTAATTATATGAACAAGTGAGAATATCAACAAAGAAAATTATTTCTAAATCCAAACATTCTGGAGCTGAAAAACAGAGTAACTGAATGGGGAGAGGGGAAGTAGGAATCACTAGAGGGATTTAACAGCAGACTCAAACAGGCAGAGGAAAGAACCAGGAAACTTGAAGACAGAGCATTTGAAGTTAATCAAGTCTGAAGAGCAGGCCAGGCATGGCAGCTCATGCCTGTAATCCCAAAACTACACAACATGATGAGACCCCCATCTCTATAAAACTAAATTAAAATTTTAAAAGCCTGAAGAGAAAAAAAGAGAAGGGACTAGCTTTATGGGAGTCCCAGAAGAGAAAAAGGGCAGAGAGCTTAAAAAAAGAAACACTTGGCTGGGCACGGTGGTTCACGCCTGTAATCCCAGCACTTTGGGAGGTGAAGGCAGGCGTTATCACCATGGGAGATTTAGACCATCCTGGCCAACATGGTGAAACTCCGTCTCTACTAAAAATAAAAATAAAAAAATAACTGGGCATGGTGGCCCACACCTGTAGTCCCAGCTACTCGGGAGGCTGAGGCAGGAGAATTGCTTGAACCTAGGAGGTTGAAGACTGCAGTGAGCCAACATCGTGCCACTGCACTACAGCCTGGGCAACAGTGCAAGACTCCATCTAAAAAAAAAACAAAACAAAAAACAAAAAAACACTTGTCATATGTTCTGCTAAACTGTCCTTCAAAAACAAAGAAGTTCTCAGATTAAAAAAAAGTCAAAGGAGTTTTACCATTAGATTTGCCCTACAGAAATACTAAAAGGAATTTTTCAAGTTGAAACAAAAGGACACTAGTAACTCAAAGCCATGTGAAAATATAAAGTTCTCTGGCAAAGAATATTGAAGCTTGTATTAAAATTTGGTTTGTGCCAGGTACAGTGGCTCATGTCTGTAATCCCAGCACTTCAGGAGGCCCAGACAAGCAAAACACTTGAGGTCACGTGTTCAAGACCAGCCTGGCCAACGTGGTGAAATCCCATCTGTACTAAAAATACAAAAATTAGCTGGGCATAGTGGGGAATATCTGTAATTCAAGCTACTCGGGAGGCTGAGGCAGAAAAATTACTTTAACTCAGGAGGCCAAAGTTGCAGTGAGCCAAGACTGCACCACTGCATTCCAACTTGAGTGACAGAGTGAGGCTCTGTCTCCAAAAAAAAAAAAAAAAAAAAAAAAAAAAATTAGTTTGTAAATTCTCTTTTAATTTTTTTAATAGGATTTAAAAGACAAAAGCATAAGAAATAACTATAGGTCCATGTTAATGGATTCATAATATATAAAGACATAATGTGTGATATCAGTAACACAGGAAGAAGGTAGTGTTGTAAAGGAGTTTTTATATGCAACTGAAGTTTTTATCAGTTTAAAATAAATTGTTTTAACTTTAGCATATTTCATGTAATCCCCATGGTAACCACGAAGAAAATACTGAATATACACAAAAGGAAATAAGAAGGAAACTGAAACATACCACTATAAAATTTTTTTTAAAAGTGAGGAAAGAAATGAAGGACAAGGAAGCTATAACATACAGAAAACAAAATGGCAATACTGTGTCTTTATCAGTAATTACCTTAAATGTAAATGGGTAAAACTCCCCAACCAAAAGACGATGACAGAATGGATTAAAAACCTGGATCCAATTATATGCTGTTTACAAGAGACTCAGTGTAGATCTAAGGACACACAAGTTCAAAGAGTGGAAAGAGATGTCCCACACATATAGCAACCGAAAGAGAACAGAGTTAGCTACACTAAATCAGACAAAATAGATCAAGTCTACAATGTTACAAGAGACAAAAGAACAACATTCCATAATGATAAAAAGATTAATTCACCAATAAGATCTAGCAATTATAAATACATATGCACCAAACATGAGAGCTCTAAATATATAAAGCAAACACTGACACAATTGAAGAGAGAAGCAGACAGCACTACAGTAACGGTAGAAGACTTCAATAGTCCACTTTCAGTAACAGATCAAACAATTAGATAGAAGGACTAATAAGAAAACATAGGACTATACATCAAATGGACTTAACACTCCATCTAACAGAATACACATTGTTCCCTAGTGCACATGGAACATTCTCCAAGACAAACTGTATGTTAGGTCACAAAGTAAGTCTTAACAAATTTTAAAAGACTGGAAATCATACAAAGTCTCTTTTCTGATTACAATGGCATGAAACCAGAAATCAAAAGCCAAAGGAAAAGAGGAAAATCCACAAATATGTTTAAGTTAAACTGACTCTAAACACCAATGGATTAAAAAATAAATCCCAAGGCAATTTTAAAAGAAAGATTCTATCAACCTAACTTTACTTAAGAACTTAAACCCAAATGTAGCTGAAGGATGACTTAATATTGGAGATAAACAAAATAAGACTATAGAAAATAGGAAAAAAAATAAATAAATAAAAGCCAACAGTTCTTTGAAAAGATCAAATCAACAGACCTTTAGTCAGACCAATAGAAAAAGAACCATCAAATAACTAACAGAGCAAACATTACAGCTGATTTTACAGATCTAAAAAGGACTGAGAATGCTATGAACAATTATGTGTAAACAAACTGGATGACCTAGATGTAACAGATACATTCCTAGAAATACACAACTCAAAAAAAAATTGGGGGGTAGGGGGTGGACAGGGTGTTCCTCTGTTGCCCAGGCTGGAGCCCAGTGGTACAATCACTGCTCACTGCAGCCTTGACCTCCCAGGCTCAGATGATCCTCCCAGCTCAGTCACTCAAGTAGCCACCACATCCATGTTATTTTTTGTATTTTTTTTATTTTTTATTTTTTTGTAGAGATGGGGTTTCACCATGCTGCCCAGGCTGGTCTCAAACTCCTGGGCTCAAGCAATTCACCTGCTTCAGCCTCCCAAAGTGCTGGTATTACATGCATGATGACCTATACACCCAGTCTTGAAATACAACCTAACAAAGACTGGATCAGGAAAAAAAAAAAAAACAGGTAATCTGAAGGTCTTTAACTAGTAGAAATTTTTAATCAGTAGTCAAACACTTCCCAACAAAGAGTCTAAGACCACATGGTGAATCCTACAAAACTTCTTTGAGACAGGGTCTCATATTCTGTTATCCAGGATGGAGTACAGTGGTGTGATCATAGCTTACTGCAGCCTCAAACTCCTGTGCTCAAGTGTTTGGGAGGCCTGTGTCAGCCTCCCAAGTAGCTGAGACTACAGGCATGAACTACCACACCCAGCATAATATATTTATTCATTTATGTATTTTTTTGGTAGAGATAGGGTCTAACTTCTGGCAAGAGAGCCTCCTTTCTCAGTTTCCCAAAGTGCTGGGATTACAGGCATGAGCCACTATGCCCAGCCCTCCATCAAACCAGCACCAATCCTTCTCAAGCTTTTCCCAAAAAACAATGAGGAAAAGGGAACAGTTCCACATTCATTCTATAAGGCCAGCATTATCCGGATACCAAAGACAGATAAACACACAAGAAACCTATGGGCCAAATCTTTGAACACAGACGCAAAAATCCTCAACAAAACACAAGCAAACCAGATTTGACAGCACATTAGAAGAATCATATACCATGATTAAGTGGGATTTATCCCTAGGATGCAAGGACAGTTCAACATATGCAGATCAATAGATGTGATACACCACACTGACAGAATGAAGGATTAAAAAACACATGATCATCTCAAAAAATGTAGAAAAAGTATCTGACAAAATTCAACATCCTTTCATGATCAAAACTATCAACATAAGGAATGTACTTCAACCAAGTAAAAGCCAAAAAGGACAAGCTAATATACTGAACAAGGAAAATGTGAAAGCTTTTCCTCTAAGATCTAAAACCAGAAGGATGCCCACTCTTGCCACTTCTACTCAGTGTAGTACTGGAAATCCCAGCCAGAGCAATGAGACAAGAAGAAATAAGCAGCATCCAAAAAGGGAAGTAAAACTATGTTTACAGACCCCATAATCTTACCTGCAGCAAATCCTAAAGAGTTCTCACACAAAAAATTGTCATAATAAACGAATTCTGCTAAGTTGGAGGATACAAAATTAGCTCTTCCTATACAGTAACAATGAATGATCACACAGGAAATTAAGAAATACTATTCATAAGGGCATCAAAAATAATACTTAGGAATGCATTTAACCAGGAATATGAAAGACTTCAACAGTGACTTAGATGAAATAAATTTCTATACACTGCTAAAATTAGCAAATCTCAAACATGCAATCCCCATGGTAACCACAAAGAAAATACAGAAAAGAAAATAAGAAGGTAACTGAAACATGTCACTATAAAATGAAAGAAATGTGTGTCCTTAGATACACTGCTTTGATTATAGTAGTCTTTTATCCAAGGTGATATGCTTCAAGACCCCTCCAGTGCATTCCTGAAACCATGGATGGTACTAAATCCTATACATATGTTTTTTTCACATATACACATAACTATGATAAAGCTTAATTCATAAATTAGGCAGAGTAGGAGATTAGCAACACTAGAAGAAATTAAAGATGCAAAATACTGCTAAAAGAAATTAAAGATACAAAGAGGAAAGACATCCTGCGATCATGGATTGGAATATTTAGTATTGTTAAGATGTCCATACTACCAAAAGCAATCTACAGATTTAACGCAATCCCTATCAAAATCCCAATGGTGTTTTTTGCAGAAATAGAAAAATCCACCCTAAAATTCACAGACTCTTAAGGGACCCCAAATAGTTAAAATACTCTTGGGGTAGAGGGTAAGGGGGTACAGAACAAAGCTGGAGGATGCATACTTCCTGATTTCAAAGCTTACTATAAAGCTACAGTGTAGCAGCCATCCCTTATTTGTGGTTTAACCTTCTACTATTTCAGTTACTCAGTCAACTGTGGTTCAAAAACAGGTAAGTAAAGTACAGCAAGATATTGAGAGACCACATTCACCTTTTATTACTATACACTATAATTGTTCTATTTTGTTATTGCTAATCTCTTACTATGCCTAATTTATGAGTTAAACATCAAAGGTATGTGTATATGTAGGAATATATATATATATATATATATATATATGGTTTGGTACTATCTGGTTTCAAGAATCCACTGGAGGGATCTTGACACATAACATCTTGGATAAAAGGTGACTACTGTAATCAAAACAGTGTGGTACTGACATGAAGACAGATATATAGATTACTGAAATAGCCCAGAAATAAACCCTCACATTTAGAGTCATGATTTCACCAAGGTGCCAAGACCATTCCATGGAAGAGGACAATCTTTTAACAAATGATTTTGGGAAAACTGGATGCCCCATGTAAAAGAATACCATTGGATTTTATATCCTTGACAAAAATTCAAGTGAATCAATGATATAAACGTAAGAGCTAAAACTATACAAGTCTTAGAAGAACATAAGAAATACGTGACACTGGATTTGGCAATGACATTGAATGACACTAAAAGCACATAGAACAAAAGTAAAAGTAAATTCAACATCAAAATTTCTGTGCATCAAGGGACACAAAAGTGAAAAGGCAAACTATGAAATGGAAGAAAATATTTACAAATCATGTATCTGATAATGGGTTAATATCCAGGATATATACAGAACTGCAACAACCAATAAACAAAAAACCAAATTCAAAAATGAACAGAACTGAATAAACATTTCTCCCAAGGTAACATAAATGGCCAATAAGCACACGAAAAAGATGCTCAACATCACAAATAACCAGGGAAATGCAAACCAAAACCACAATGAGATACCACCTCATACCTATTGGGATGGTTACTATCAAAAATATCAAAATTATGCCAGGCACAGTGGCTCACACCTGTAATTCCAACACTTTGGGAGGCCAAGGTAGGCGGATCACCTGAGCCCAGGAATTCAAGACCAGACTGGGTAATACGGTGAAACCCTGTCTCTACTAAAAATACAGAAGTTAGCCAGGTGTGGTGGCACATGCCTATAGTCCCAGCTACTTGGGAGACTGAAGCAGGAAGATCCCTTGAGCCTGGTGGACTGAGGCTGCAATGAGCCATGATAGCACTACATCACTCCAGCCTGGGTGACTGAAGGACACCCTGTTTAAAAAAAAAAAGTCTCTAAAAGAACTACTGGGTTAAAAGAAACTTTAAAAAAAATTATCAAGTGTTGGGGAGGATGGAAAGAAACAGGAACCTTGGTGAGCGGTTGTCGGGAGTGTAAAACAGTGCAGCCACTATGGAAAATGGTACGGCAGTTTCTTAAGAAATTAAAAATCATATGATCCAGCAATTCCACTTCTGAATATACCCCAAAAGAATTGAAAGCAAAGCCTTCAAGGAGTATTTGTAGACCTAGTTCACAGCATCACTCACAACAATCAGAAAGTGGAAGCAATCCAAGCTTTGATGGATGAATGGGTAACAAAATGTGACACACCTAAAATAGATCATTCAGCTTTAAAAAGAAAGGAAATTCGGACACATGCTGTAACATGGATGAACCTTGAGGACATTATGCTAAATGAAATAAGCCAGTCACAAGAAAACAAATACTGTATGACTATTTATGAGATAATCTGGAGTAGCCAAACTCTTATAAAGTAACAGCAGCTGCCAGGGTCTGAGTGGAGGTGAGAATGGGTTGCTTAATGTATACAAAGTTTCAATTCTGTAAGATGACAGGTTCTGGAGACTGGTTGCACAGTGTGAATCCACTTAACACTATGAAACTGCACAATTAAAAATGGTTAAGATGGTAAATTTTATATTACATCTGCTCCTTAACTATCAGCTTACATTCTGATAAAGCCATCATAATTTTAAAATATCTTAAGTTGAAAATGCATTTACTACACCTAACCTACATCAGAGCTTAGCCTTCCCTATCTTAAATGTTCTCAGAACACTTATGTTAGCCCACAGTTGGAGAAAATCATCTAACACAAAGCCTAGCTTGTAATAAAACACTGAGTATCTCACACAACACTACAGAGTACAGTATCAGTTGTTTACCCTTGTGAACATGTGTCTGACTGGGTTTGGGAGCTGTGGTCATTGCTATTGCCCCACATCACAAAAGTACTGTGCCACTTACTGCTCATGCAGACAAAGATCAAAATTCAAAGTATGGTTTCTACCAAATGAGTATCACTTCCACACCATCATAAAGTCAAAAAATCTTAAGCCCAAACATTGTAAGTCAGGGACAGTCATCTGTATGTGCATTTTACCACAATCAGAACTTTTTATTTTTATAGCAACTTCAAATAACCACATTACCTTTCTATTCCAAGATCACTTTATACTACGAAAGACACCAGCCTTCTTCATCTCCTCAAAATCTTTCTCGGGACTGTAATTTTTGTAGAAATCCGCATATGCCTTCTTTCTTGGTTCAGCCACACCAAACTAAAAGGCAAACCATCCATTAGAGGTTATTTTGCAGATTATTAGAAATTAGATTCCAGATTATAATATCTAAAGACAAGGTAGAGCACATATTTTTGTTCATCCTTTAATTTAAGCCCTACCTTTCCTAAGGGGTGGAGGTGGTGACAGGTAAAAAATTAAGAGAAAGTTATCTCATGGAAACTACACAGGAAGGGGAGCCCCACCTTGCCTAGAGACAGATTCTATCTTTTCTTGGGTGAGTTCTGTATGTATGTTTGGCAGGAAATGAATGCAGCCTAGCAGGAGCTGAAGGAAATAACCCAAAAGCTGAAAGGTATTAGAGATAAGCCTTCCCTCCAACAAAACCTAAATTCCCTACAGGTGAGACATGCTAAAATATCAGTTAAATTTAAGACAATATGAATTTCAAAAAAGCTTGAGATTAATTTGGTAATGATCTGCCTCTGAAAGGCAGAGTAAACTTTCTATCCGCCAAGAACAGTTCAGGGTGATTTACACTTCATCAACATACAAGCCCTAAGAGTAGGCACTGACCCAATTTACAAGTGAGAGAACAACCTGAGGATGACAACTGATCACTGAAAGTAAGAAATTGCTAAATTTGCAAAGAAAAGAATGAGGAATAAGGTGTCTATTTTCTTTTGTTTGAGGTTTCTGTATACAAAGGGCAGGGGGGTTCGACAGAGAAAGAACAAAGGATTGAAGACAACAATGCAGAGTTTAAGTGTCTTAGCAAGAAGCATCAGGAGCAGATGGCTCAAGCAGCATTCAAAACTATGTCTGTCATATAGAAAAGGTTTTATTTTCCACAAGACACTGCTTTGTGGATTTCAACATGCCACTGCACTATAGCCTGGGTGACACAGCAAGACTCCATCTGGGGTTGGCAGGGCTGAAGTGCAAGTGCTCTGGGCCATCATTCCATGCACAGTTAATTTGATGTGTCAACTGGATTGTGCTACAGAGCTATCGAAACATTATTCCTAGGTGTGTATGTGAGGGTGTTTCTTAAAGAAAAGGCAAAGGAGGGGCAGTCTCTTTCTTGAACTGTAATATCCATCTTCTTTTGCCCTCTGATATCGCTAGGACCTAACACCAGCAGCACCACCTGCCTCTCAGCTCTCTCCCCACCTTTGGAGTTGTAACATCCGCTCCCCTGATTTTCAGGCCTTCAGACTTGGACTGAATTACACCACTAGTTTCCTGGTTCTCCAGCTTATAGATGGCAAACGGAATTTCTTGAACTCCATAAATGCATGAACCAATTTCCATTCATATCTCAGAGAGGGAGAGAGATGAATGGAAATTGGTAGATTTCCATTGGTAGCTATCTAGATCTAGGTATCTCTATCCTATTCGCTGTTTCTCTGGAAAACTAATACACTCCTGTGAGCATTTTTTATTAGAACTGCTTTTTATTAGAAAGCAACTGTGAGCATTTCATTAGCAAAAAATATATATATCATTTTAAACTAATAGGCTAAAAGCCAGGTGTGGTGGCTTACACCTGTAATACCAGCACTTTGCAAGGCTGAAGCAAGCAGATCACCTGAGCCGATCACCTGAGCCCAAGAGTTCAGGACCACCCTGGCAACAGAGAGACTCGTCTTTAAAAAATTAATAATTAAAAATACGTTCAGTCAGTGAACCCAAAAAAAGAAAGCAAAGTAATTTTATAACCTCATCTAAATTATATTGTTACACTTTTAATGATTTTAAAGTCTGAAAAATCTGAACTTCAGTAAAAATATATATGAATTAACAATTTAGGTCTTCCAGATTATGAGTAACTTGAAAGCCATAAAATAATCTACACCTGAAGATTAAGAGCAAGCCTAATTCATAACAGTAATTGGTAAACCTAGGGAAAAATTCCACATTTGGAGTAAATGCTTTTCACTTGCCTCTTAAAAATCTAACTCACATTCAAGAGTTTAGGCTAACAGCAGACTAACTTGACCAAAAAGGATTTACTGAATGCTGCATCATGTGAAAAATACAAACGTTGATTGAAACTATAAAAATTGGCCAAAACCAGGAATGGAAATAAAGAAAAGCCAAGTCCTCAAAAGCATTTAATAACCTGGGTAGGGGAAATGAAGGAGGTGATATCTACTAAAAGAACAAAGGTGATTCCTTCCTGTCTTATTCTTTAATAACAATCTGGGTTCCTCAATGGTTTGGGAACCTTGGTTTCAATCAAACACTAATAGCTAACTATATACAAACACGGACTCACATGCCAAGTATTTTTTATTTTTCATCACAACAGACTGAGAGACCATGTGTCTGTCATGGTACCAGCTCTTAACAGAAAATAAAGACCCTGAAGCAAGTATTACTTAAAATATAATGTACCCAATGCCACACAACAGTCTGGTACAAACTGCCTGAGAACCCAGGAGAGCACAACTAACACAGCCCGTGGAACAGACTACGCATCACTCCACAGAAAAAAAGCATTTGTGTGAGCCTTAAAAGAAAAGCAGGAATTTGCCAGACAGTGAGATTAAAGATAGTCCTGGCATGTACGTAAGTACAGCTAGTGCTCGACTTAACGACCACGGTTGGGACCACAGAACGGTCGTAACACGATTTGGTCGTAAGTTGAGTCGGCTATATGTACAGTTGAAATGGTGCACGAGGAGATGGCAGTGCTTCCGGAAGCTGGTCCGCACTGTCGTACGCCCAGCTGGGCAACGTTTGCGCTGCCAGATGCGGAGCAGTCGTGGCTAGCGATTGTGGTCGTAAAGTCGAATGGTCGTAAGCTGCATAGGTCATAAGTCGATCAATACCTGTATGTGCGATATCCAAATTGGGTAACAGCAAATAGTTCTGAAGGTCTGTAGAGGTGGGTATGTTAGAAGTGATGGAAAGGCAGAGGGGTAAATCAGAAAGGGTCTTAGAATCAAGAATATTAGCACTGGCCTTGTAAGTGTGTTGTTCACATCACCCACAACCCATTACAGTAGTAGGTCATGAAACCAATTTAGAAGGTTACAGCCTGCACTTTAAAAAAAACAGAATAAAAAGTATTAAGAGACCACATGTAAGTGTTGCAAATGGTTTCAGTTTATATGTACACTTACAATCCACAGGTAAATCCATGCACCCATTAAATCACACTGCAAAAAATGTATTGCTTAATGTACATCAAAAGTTTAAAAGCCCCTACACACTAGACACTGGGGAGCCCAATGACATACAGCTCTATTAGGGGGTTACCAGTTAAAAGTGGTGAGAATCCACACAAGACGTTGCAAAGGCCTGAACTTTGGTGACAATTATGACTGCATAAAGAAATGAGTTCCCTATCACATTTCTCTATACTTAGCCTTACTTCCTTTAGTCATCCATCTGAGAGACAGAAGACAGCCAAGAGTCCCGGCAAAACCCCATCTTCAAGCCTAGAACAGCTTGAAGGCTGAAAGGACGGACTGTGCTTCCAGATCCCAGGACCCGGAGGGAGAACTGCACATCTGCCCACCCTTTCACGGAGGATTCTTTTCCCATAATGGCCACAGGCACACTGGAAGAATGGGGTGGAGGTAGGGGAAGTTGCTTCTTGTGCAGAGGGGAGGAGCCTAGTCTCTTGGGCTCCTGTGTGGTGGCCTGGTATTCAGTCTGAGGTAAGGGCCTGTTAGCAAGACCCTCTCTCACTTTGCTGAGTCTTTTTTCTTTTTTCCTTTCACCCAATAAATTCAGCCCTCCTCATCCTTCAATGTGTCCATGTGCCTAATTTCTCCTGGTCGTGACACAAGAACCCAGATTTAGCTAAACTAAAGAGAAAGAATTCTGTATCACATCCATCTCTTCTACAAACAAATATGTCCACTATATATGTCAGGCAGCAGGAATCTCAAAGACTAAAAGATTTTCCATGCTTGTCTCTTCAAAGAGTCCCAAAGCACAGGTCCACCTAGTGCTTTCACTCAGTGTTCCATCTCCTCTTTGCTCTCCCAGTTCTCCCTTTTTTTTTTTTTTTTTGAGACAAAGTCTGGCTCTGTCACCCAGCCTGGAGTGCAGTGGCACGATCTTGGCTCACTGCAACCTCCACTCCCCAATCTATTATTTTTATTTTGAGACAGCGTCTCACTCTGTCACCCAGGCAGATGGAGTGCAATGGTGAGAACTTGGCTCACTGCAACCTCCCCCTCCTGGGTTCAAGCAATTCTCCTGCCTCAGAGCCTCCCGAGTAGCCAGAATTACAGGCATCCGCCACCAGGTCCAGCTAATTTTTTTCTATTTTTTAGTAGAGACGGGGTTTCACCATGTTGGCCAGGCTGGTCTCAAACTCCTCCTGACCTCAGGTGATCCGCCTGCCTCAGCCTCCCGAAGTGCTGAGATCACAGGCGTGAGCCACCACACCTGGCCTTGCCTCCCAATCTTGGCTGAATGACACCTCTGCCACCCAGGCTCAAGCCAACCTTCCACCTCAGCCTCCCAAGTACCTAGGGCATGTATTTTTGTATTTTTAGAAGAAATGCCCCCAGCTACGTTTTGTATTTTAGTAGAGATGGTTTTACTATATTGCCCAGGCTGGTTTTGAACTCGCAAACTCAAGCAATCTGCCCACCTTGGCCTCCCAATGCACCAGGATTACAGGCATGAGCCACCAGATCCAGCCTCTCTCCTCAACTTGCAAGGCTCAAATTCCACTTCCTCTATCATAGAGTATGACCCACAGTAACTGTGACCCACAACATCCCCCAAAACCATTCTTTCAGTTATGTTCTATCTTGCAACATCTTCTTTTTCACCTCCCCAACTTAACTGTAAGTTCTTTAAAAACACAGATTTAGTCAGACACCTTTTGTGTCTTCCAAAGCACTTGGAACTCTACATTATCTAAAACTGTACTGAATTTTATACACTGCCTCTTACTCAACAGGTCTTTTTAAGAACTTATTTATGTGTCAGGCCCCCAACAATAGGGTACCATAGTAAACAAAAGACATGGTATCTGTCTTAATGAGGCTCATAGCCCAGTATACACTAAACGAAGATTAAGTACAGTAAGTTATAAAAGCAAAGCTCTAAATTCTTTCATGGGATAGTATGACAACAGTGATAGACATATATATCTCATCAAAAACATTTTTATGGAAAAAGTTGCAAATATGCAGGCTTTGATAAAAAATAAAGGGCGTAACAAAATCCACATTAGGCAGTGTTAAAATGCCATTCTGTGACAATTATTCAAGGTGTCAAATAGAACCATAATTGGCCCTCTATATCTGCAAGTTCCACACTCATGGATTCAGTCAATCAAGGACTGAAAATATTTGGCGGAGGAGGGGGGGAATACAACAAAAAATACAAAATTTAAAATACAGTATAAACTACTGACATAGCATTTGCATTGCACTGGGCATTTTAAGTACTCTAGAGATGATTTAAAGCATCCTTAGGGCTCCTGAACCAATCCCCCATGGATAGAGGGGCAGCTATGTTGCCTTCCCAGACCCTCTGCATACTAGCTTCTGTAATGGGTTGAATTGTGTTCTATCAAAATTCACGTGTTTAAATCCTAACTCTCAGGAACTCAGAATCTAAATGTTTTTCGAAATAAGGGCTTTCAAGAGATAATTAAGTTAAAATGAGGCCTTTAGGGTGGGCCCTAATCCAGTATGACTGATGTTATTTTAAGAAATTCAGCAAGCCAAGTGCAGTGGCTCACTCCTATAATCCCAGCTCTTTAGGTTGCCAAGGCAGGTGCATCCCTTGAGCCCAGGGGTTCAGGACTGGCCAGGACAATGTGGCTGTCTCCGAAACCTCATCTCTATATAAATATACATATATATATATAAATTAGCCAGTTTTGATGTTGTGTACCTGTAGTCCCAGCTACCGGGTGACAGAGTAAGACCCTGTCTCAAAGGAAAGAAGGAAGAAAAAGGAAAGAAGGAAGGAAAGGAAAAGGAAAAGAAAAAGGAAAGAAGTTCAGCCACAGGCATATGCCCACAGAGGACACTGAAGACAGAGAAGAGAACCATCTACAAGCCAACTGAGGCCTCAGAAGACATCAGCCCTGCCAACAGATTTCTAGCCTCTAGAACTGCAAGCAAATTTAAGACACCCAGTCCATGGTTCCTTGTTATGGCATTCCTAGCAAACTAACACAGCTTCATTTAAAGATTGAGTCCAAGCTATAGCTCCTGTCACACTGAGGTGAGTGCAGACAGGGTTAGAAGGAAACATATTACAAGGGGAGTTTCTTTTAAAGATTTTTCGACCAAAAACATGTACTTTATGATCTTAGACACAAAGTTAAAAAAACAAACATACATACCTTATAGAGAGCTGCAACCCCCAGGGATATCAGGAATGCTCCAACCATATGAATTCGCAGACGCCTGGCCAGAAGACCACGCATCTGAGGTTTTGCCAAAACTTCAGAAGCCATAGTTAATTACTGTCCTTGATACGTACGCCAACCTTAAGAGATTCAGAAAACATGATTAAGTACAGAGTTTATTTAAGCCACAAACTTGACAATGGCCACCTGGAAGCACTGATTGGAGTTGCCCTGAATATACACTGATTAGCAGCAGTCTCGAATAAAAATGGTTTTCTTTTTTAGGCAGAAACAGGGTGTATGTTTCCCAGGCTGGTCTTAAACTCCTGGCCTCAAGTAATCATATTAACTTGTCCTCCCAAAGCGCTGGGATTCCAGCCTACAAGCGGGTTAAGAAAAAATTAGAGGCAATTCCTAAATTGTTTGCCATGAATTTACAGTAAAATCACATAAGCTACTGACTACACGTTGTCCTTTGTGTCACAAATTCAGGAATAAGATTTGGGTTGAGACATGGGTGAGGGGCGTGACTGAAGTCCAACTCAGGTCTCTGGGCCTGCATACCTCCTGTCACTACTCTGAGCTTTTTCTCCTTTCTCGGGTAAAATCAAAGAAAACCTCAGAAGAGAATAAGACATCAAAGAAACTCATGCATAGTGCATTTTACTACCCAGAGAGACACAGAACGACAGTGGACAGATTCCTCCCACAAAGCCTACGCTGTCTCTTGGCTTAGCGTGCTTCATCTCCTACTTACTACCGTAAATAGACTCAACTAACTGTGGCACACTAACAACGGGCAAGCAAAGGCAACAAAAATCCATCCCAACAACAGGAAAACATAAGCAGTAGTTCCGTATTAATTACCCATTTACGGAACATTTACTCTTCTAAAAATTTTCCGTCCATTCCTTAAACCTTCGAGACAACCCTGTCAGATCAGCAGACAAGTGTTTTCCACGGTCACTGGGTATACCATTAAAACTTGGCCGGGAACGCAGCAATTGCCTTGAGGGCCCAAATTCCCTAACTGCTCCTTTGCCCAGCCTCATCTGGGGGCCTCAAGACCCCCGCGCGTGGCCGTCCCTGAACGCATTCAGCTGACGAGGCTCAGGGTAGGATGGGAAGCCGTGGGGCGAGGGAAGTTGCAGAAGCCCATCCTTTTCCTCCTGTGACAGGCACGGTGACCCTCCTCCAGCTTCCCAGCTCTAACTTAAAATACTACCACACAGCGAGCGACGCTGCCAGCTGCTTTGCCTACATGGACCCTTGCGCCACACGACCAGCTACAGAAAAAACCACCCTTCCCACCCCAACCCCCCCCCCTTTTTTTTTTTACGAGAGAAACACCTGGGCCAGATAAGTCAAATGACCTCGCCAAGGTCACACTGGTTGGGAAAAAGCGCAGCGGGTACCGGCCCCGGGCCAGCTCACTCGAAACCCACTGGGTCCTCGAGGTTCCCGCAGCCCACCCGACTTCTGTAGGGCCGTCGCAGCCCACCCGGTGCCCGTGGTCCGCCCGCCGCCCTTCAGCGGAAGCGTGAAGGAGTAGATGCGGCAGAGAGGCCCAAAGCTTCACCACGTCCAAGACACAAGAGTCACGACTAAACTCCGAGGCAGAGAGAAAGCAGCAGGCAGCCGCTGCGACAAGGCGAAGAGGGAGGAACGCAAAAGCGACCCGCACTCACCTCAACACCAACGTCCTTCCAGACTGATGGAAAAATGGACGGCTCTCCACCGCGCGCAGGCGCAGAAAAAGTGCGCAGCGAGAACCCGGCGACGGTAGCCAAAGAAGTTCAAAAGACCTCTAGCGCGCTCACCGCAGGTGGCCGCCGAAGTTCATTTTCGTGGTCCGTTTCTTCCTTGTGTGACCTTGCAAAACGGGCTCGACCTCTTTATTTATCGACCTCTTTATCTTCTTAATAAATTGAAGACATTAACCGTACTCATACACAGAGCCCCAAACCATGTGCAGAAACCGACATTTTAATATAACCTTTGGCGAACAACCGTTTGGCTTGACGTCTGGGAGCTCAGAGCCCAGAAGATGAGACAGACAAACAGATTAATACCGATCCAATGCGATGGGCACTACCGCGGAGACGTGACCCAGCTCCTGCAGAAGCAATTCTCTACCTGGCAAAGCTGAGGATGTTTTGATAGAGGGCGGGTATCTGTGTGGGATTCTTAACAAGCGTTTTGAAGGAAGGCAACCGGAAGTTCGTGGAAAGTGGTGTAAAAGGGCGAGGCTCTTGTGCCTTAATGATGCTAGGCTGTTTTTATTGAAATAACCTGAATTTGAAAAGCATTAAGTCAACCCATCAAGCCCTGTGGAAGGTATCTGGGACACAACAGATGCATGATATTGACTCAATATATAGAGTACCTACTACGTGCCAGGTTCTGCTAAACAAGAAGACAGATCTCCAGGGAGGCTCATTCTTGTCAGAGGGTTTTTGTCCTGAACTTGTTAATAAACACTTCTGGTTTCACACTGGAAAGTGAAACCTTTCAGCCGCACAGAAAGGTGCTAATTGAGACTCAGAAGTAGGTTTGGACTTTAACAACAGTTTTTCAGATCTCTTATCAAGGATCTACCCAGGTGAAAATCTTTGCATGGAATTTGTCCGCAGAGTAATTTTTTTCTACTCTCTTTCCATCCCCACCCCGACCATTGGCCCAAAGAAGAAGTGGTGAACTTCAGGGTTCACAGGGATTAGTGTATGTGAAACCATCAGGGAAAATTTCAGACAAGACATTAAAAGAAGGAAGCAGAGCTGAGTTTCAGTCTCAGGCACAGAGCCTGCCCTGAGTGAAATACTGAGTGGTTGTTCTGTGCTTCCCTAGCTGTCCAGTGAACCCATGGTGAATGACTGAGGGTGACATATGAATAAAATCTACATGTGAATACACTCTACATACAGATTCTGTTCTAGAGCTGAACAGACCTGGATTTGAGACCCAGCTCATCAACTTCTCACTGGCAAATTTCTTAGACTTTTGGGGGTAGGTTTGCATAAACTGCCTACCACAGCACACCGGGAAATGTCCTTGCTCCTCCATCACTATCCTGCTCTGAACGTGCTTTTTAGATGAGCTGACCTCTCGCTGGTGCTGCAGCCTTTCATGTTGTGAAAAGTATATACAACACCTGGAAAGGCAAATTACAATGCCAAGAGCTAAAGGGAATGAAATGGAGCCGGAAGCAAATTAGGTAGTTGTTGAGAACTGTTAAGTTGTTTAGAAATGTTAAGTTTATGAATACTGAGAAATGCTGAGTATATGATAGAATATATTGTTTGCTAGGAAGAATGATGGCAAGGAAAACCTAGCCGAGCCCCCCCCCACCACCAAGAAATGATGTATGATATTTACATATTGTCCTGCCACTTTGGAATGCCCCAAGTACTTGGGGCATTCCAAAGTGGCAGGACAATATGTAAATATCATACACCAGTTAAAACAGTTCTTTAAGATATCTGACCCTGCCCCCGTGGCTACCTCCTGGATAATATTTTAGTTTGTGTGTGATCAGTGGTAAGTGGGTACCAGCTGCCTATTTGGCATATTTTGTTATGAGTAAATACTGAACATCTGTTTGTTGATAATAATGACCTGTTCAGAGAGAATAAATGCGTGGGTCAGAGTCTGCTCGAGGCCTTTAGCCCAGAATGCTGTCAGGCTCTGAGGCACTCAGCTTGGAAGGCTGCTGGGCCCTGGGATAGTCCCATTTTGTTGTTCTATCTGGGCGTCTGCCTCTCAATTCCTTCAGCACCACCTGCATAGGGGTGGGGGGTGGTCTCTATGGCCGAGCTGGTCTCGGTAGGCAGTAGTGAAAAACTTTTTTTTTTTCTTTTGTTTGTGATGGAGTCTCGCTCTGTTGCCCAGGCTGAGTGCAATGGCACGATCTCAGCTCACTGCAACCTCCGCCTCCGGGGTTCAAGCGATTCTCCTGCCTCATCCTCCCAAGTCGCTGGGATTACAGGCATGCACCACACCTGGCTAATTTTTGTATTTTTAGTAGAAACAGGGTTTCACTATGTTGGCCAAGATGGATGGTCTCGATTTCTTGACCTCGTGATCTGCCCGCCTCAGCCTCCCAGAGTGCTGGGATTACAAACATGAGCCACTGTGCCGGGCCAAGAGTAGACAAACTTTAAATCCTTTCAACCATAGTATATAGTATAAATGGAAAGGGCCATAAATAATTTTATAGATTAAGAAAATGTGAGGGTTAGAAGTTAAAAAGCAACAACAAAAACAACCTCTACCTGAGGTAAAATAGTAGCAGCTGCAGTATCTGACAAACCTCAGAGGTAGATCTGACTCTTTTACATATAATTTATTTCCACTTTCAAATGTAATAAGTAAGAGTGTTGGAGTTAGAGCCTCGAGTTAAGAAATGACAGGCTGGGCATGGTGGCTTACACCTGTAATCCCAACACTTTGGAAGGCCAAGGTGGAAGGATAGCTTGAAGTCAGGAGTTCAAGGCCAGCCTGGGCAATATAGTGAGACCCTGTCCCTACCAAAAAAATTTTTTTTTAAATTAGCCTGGTGTGGCGGCTCACACCCCTGGGGGAGATGGAGAAGACTTGGGGGCAGGGTCCCGGGGGCGGGCAGGGTGGCGTCTACATCTCCGGGGCTTCTGGCTTCTTCTCCTCCATGCCATTGGCCATGGTGCTGCTGCCCTCGTTGAGGCGCTTCACACGGTAGGCTTTGAAGTGGATGCTGCTAGTGATGTCCCTGATGTTCTGCATGTGCATCCTGATGAGAAGAAGGTCCCACAGGTAGGCAAACTCACAGTGTGTGGTGTTTTCAACTTCGATGGTGCCCCACTTGGTCTTCCTCCCGAGGATCCTCCTGCCGTTGACCTGGTACTCATGGTCACTGCCCACCACAGCAAATGGAATCATCTCCCAGAACTTCTCATTCACCAGCCGGTCCTCCGAGTCCTCATCAAACTCCTTCTGGGGGTACTCGTCGATGCCGTTGGACAGCAGGTCTGCGGTGATCCGCTGTTTGAAGTGGACCCGCTCCTCCAGGGTGAGTGTGTCAGCCTTGGTGATGACCGGGATGATGTTGACCACCTTGCTCAGGCGTTTCATAAACTCGATGTCCAGGGGCCTGAGGGAGTGGCCAGTGGCAGGGATGAAGTAGAGGCAGCAGTGGACGCGGGTGTCCAGGATGTGCTCCTTGCAGTTGATGTTGACCTCCTCCTGCAGGTACTTCTCATACTGGTTGTTGTTGAACTTCATGATGGGCTGCCAGCAGTTCTCGCTGTTGTGTCAATCACCGTCAGCTTCATCCGGACACCCTTCTCCTCAATATCGTGTGTGATGGATTTGACCTCGATGGTCTTGAGGATGTGCTCCTCCGAGGTGGGCTGCACCAACTTCTGGCTGATTTTGGATTTGAAGAGGGTGTTGATTAAGGTGGATTTACCCAAGCCACTCTGCCCAATGACCATGATGTTGAACTCGAAGCCCTGCCTCATGGCCTTCTGGCGCATCTGCTCCAGGATGGAGTCAATCCCCATGTAGCCAAAGTCCACCGGGGCCTTCTCAGGAGGCTGAAGTGGGAGGATCACTTAAGCCCAGGAATTCAAGACTGCAGCGAGTAAGCTACACTATACTCCAGCTTAGGCAACAGAGCAAGACCCTGTCTCTAAAAGAGAGAGAGGAGGGAAAAATTTTTTCTCTTTGCTAGTATTCATTATTACCAAGAAAATCTAGGATTTCAGTGATGCAGCCCAATAATGTAACTCAAGTTAGAGTTTCTACTCTGCCTTTCCACTGAATAAATAAGAAATCACCGGCCAGATTCAACAGGGAAACTTATCTGACCCTGTAAGTGGACAGGAAAAAGGAGGCATATTCTTCCCTCTGAATTATATTCTAAGAATCCAGCTGACTGACGATATGGACCATCACAAGGCTTGAGTCTGGGGTACTTTATTTGACCTGATCATATCCAACATGTAAATACGGATCCAAGCGAAGTCATAGGGCTGATAAAATGATACTGTGATTTCTTCTGCGATGTTATTGACTAAGCAAATGCTGTGAGTGATGATCTGCAAATGATCCCCTGCTCCTAGATGACATTCAACATAGTTCCGGGTAAGTTGAGGTTTGCTGACTCCACATGCTTCCAAAAAGGCCGGCCTCTACCAGAGATCCTCCACTGATGCTGTTTGGCCTGGAGCTTGGAAGGCTCAGGTTTAAGAAGGCGCCTGGAGGAGTGTTCCAAGCTCATCAGCGGCAGCAGTATCCCATATATAGAGTTCACTGCAGCTTATGGCAAACTACAGGGACAGTTCAGAGGAAACCTGACCCTTTTCTCAAAGATGGTCCCGTACCTCACCTTAATTAGGAGAGACTTGGTAAAAGTTCCAAATAACTTCTTGTTATTTTTTCTTTCTTTCTTTTTTTTTTTTATTTTGTGAGACAGAGCCTCACTCTGTCAGCCAGGCTGGAGTGTAATGGCATGATCTCGGCTCACTGCAGCCTCTAACTCCCAGGTTCAAGCGATTCTCCTGCTGCAGCCTCCCAAGTAGCTGAGATTACAGGTATGTGCCACCATGCCCAGCTAATTTTTGTATTTTTGGCAGAAATGGGGTTTCGCCACGTTGGCCAAGCTGGTCTCAAATTCTTGACCTCCGGTGACCCACCTGCCTCAGCCTCCCAAAGTGCTGGGATTACAGACACAAGCCACCACACCTGGCCTCAAATAACTTCTTAAATCAGTTGTGTGATAAATAGTATTTGCATGTAAAATCTCACATAGGCCCCATGCTGTGGCTCATGCCTGCAATCCCAACACTCTGGGAAGCCCAGGCAGGAGGATTGCTTGACCTCAGGAGTCCAAGATCAGCTTGAGCAACATAGCAAGACCCTGTCTCTAATTTTCAAAAATAAAAATAAATTAAAAAATGAAATGTGTTAGAACAGTGCTATCCAATATAATTATAAAGCCAACCATGCAGATAACATTAAATTTTCTAGTAGCTACATTAAAAAAGTAAAAAGAGACAAATGAAATTAGTTTTGATAATGTATTTAACCCAGCTGGGCATGGTGGCTCACGCCTGCAATCTTAGCACTTTGGGAGACCGAGGCGGGTGGATCACCTGAGGTCAGGAGTTGGAGACCAGCCTGGCTAACATAGTGAAACCTCATCTCTACTAAAAATACAAAAAGTAGCTGAGCATCATGGAGGGCACCTGTAATCCCAGCTACTCAGGAGACTGAGGCAGGAGAATCACTTGAACCCGGGAGGCAGTGGTTGCAATGAGCCGAGATCACACCACTGCACTCCAGCCTGGGTGACAGAGTGAGACTCCGTCTCAAAAAATAATAATAAAATAAAATATTTACCCAATATAACAAAAATATGATTTCAACATGAAATTAATATAAAAAATTATTACATTCTTTTTTCATACAGTCTTTAAATTCTAGTGTGTAGTTTTCGCTTATAGTACAGCAGATCCTTGAATAACATCGTTTGGCTTAACATTGCTTCATTGTAACTTTGATTTAAAAAATCAATTCCTGGCTGGGGCCCCTCTGTGAAATTTGCATATTCTCCCCATATCTGCATGGGTTTTCTCTAGCTACTCTGGTTTCCTTCCACATCCCAAAGATGTGCATCTTAGGAGGATTCGATAGCTACCTGGTTCCAGTGTGAGTGAGTGTGTGAATTGTGTGTGTGTGTGTGTGTGTGTGTGTGTGTGTGTGACAGAGAGAGAGAGAGAGAGAGAGAGAGAGCGAGAGAAAGAGAGAGAGACAGAGAGAGACAGAGAGACAGAGACAGAGTGATCCCTTGGGATGGAATGGTGCCCTGTCCAAGGCTGGTTCCTGCCTTGTTCTCTGAGCTAGCTCTAGCTTCCAATGACCCTGAACTGAAATAATTGGGTAAATAATTATCTTACTTGTTTATTTTTATTTTTTTAATTTATTCTTTTCTTTGAGACAAGGGTCCTGCTATGTTGCACAGACTTCTCTGAAACTCTGGGACTCAAGTGATCCTCTTGCCTCAGTCTCCCAAAGTGCTGGGATTATAGGCATGAGCCACCATGTCTGGCCTTTATTAATCTTTCCTAGGTTTATGTATAGCTCACATTTATTTCAATGTTTCATATTAGAAGCATTTTGGTCCTTCTTTAAAAGTTGATGATGTTTTTGTGACCAGAAATATACCAATGGAATTTACCTCTTATTTATGTCAGTTAGCCCATGGCAAAACTGGTTTTGTTGAACATCTTTTTGCTTAAAGTCACAGTTTCCAAGAACCTATTGATGACATTAAATGAGGACTTACTGTATGTCACAATTCAATTCAGACTAGCCACATTTCAGGTTCTAAATAGCTGCATGTGACTGGACTGGATAGCACAATTAGAACATTTTAGCCATAGGAAAATGTTCATGAGCCATTGCTAAATGAAAAGGCCAGCTGCAAAGCTATGTCACATGATCGAATTCTGTAACATGTACAATGCACTTACACGTATGTACTGTAGATATAAGCAGGAAATAATACTGAAAGGATATATACCAAAAACTTGTAATTTTTATATTTTATTTTTATGCAAACCAAATTTTATCATGTATTTTATGCTTAGAAAAAATTAATAATAAATGAGTTTTTTTAAAAGAGAGGTGTATTTGCTTCCTATTGTTGGTGTGACACATTGCCACAAATTTAGTGGCTTAAAACCACACATGTTCATTATCTTGCAGTTCAGTAGTTGAAAAGTCTGACACAGCTCTCTCTAGAATCAAGTTAATGCATCAGCAGGGTCACATTTTTTCCAGAGGCTCTAGAAGAAGAAGAATCTGTGCCCCTGACTTTTCCAGCTTCAAGAGGCTGCCTGCATTTCTTGGTTTGTAGTTCCCTTCCTCCATCTTCAAAGCCAGCTCCATCACATTTTTTCCTCTGCCTCTCCTTTCTCTCTCTCTCTCTCTTCCCCATTCTCTCTTGTGATTATATTGGCCCCACCTGGGTAACTGAGAACAGTCTCCCTATTTTAGTGTCGGCTGATTAGCAAGCTTAATTCCACCTGCAACCTTATTTCCCTTTGCTATGTAACATACCATAATCCAGTGATTAGTACATAGACATCTTTGAAGGGCTGTTATCCTGCCTACCACAAGAAGTACGGTCATGTATAACGAACATTTCCATTCTCCTTTCAGACACACAGCGGGGTGATACTTCCTTTCTCCCTTCAAAGCAGCCACATGGCTTGCTTTGGCCAAGCAATATGAGTGGAAGTGGCATGTGTCCTTTCCGGGTAGATGTGTGTGGTTTACTATGTTCTCTTTGCCTTGCCTTTGATAGGATGGAAGTATTTATGGAGAAGGCACCTATGTCCCCTGGTCTGTGAGACACTAGGATGAGGAGAGCCCTCCTACCAACCTGTGCTGGTCAGATACGGTGAGTGAAAAGTCAGTTGTGTGTCACTCCACTGAGCTTCAGGGATTGTTTGCTCTTACAGACAAACAGTTCATCCTGACTGGTACAGGAGGTTTTAAAAAATACAAGTATCCGTTTTAGTTAGGGATGCATGTGTGTAATGCTGAGGTAGATAAACTGACAGAGACAGTGGGAATATAAAGAAGATACGGGATCATTAAGATGGCACTGGAAATAAGCTACATTGATCGCTACAATTTTTTCTAAATTTAAAACAAAATAGAATGGTGGAGCCCAGCCCTTCAATGTTAAGGGCTTCCCTGTTCTCAGCCCTGACTGACCTTTAGAGAAGCTGTGAAAAGACCCTGAGTGTTGAAGTAGAATCTCTCTTTTGCTTAAGAGTCCTGCTTTGCTTCTGACCTAGGGGAACACTGGATGGTTGGGTTTCTTTGGGGATTGAGTGCCTGAAGCTCCAGCTCCCTGAGACTTCTGATGGAGTACTGTGTTCTAGGGGACACTGGGCTTCCCTGAAGCTTGCAGGTGGATTGGGGACAATGTTTTCTAGCCTCTCCTAGGGCTCAGTTCCTGCTTCACTATATTTGTAAGCCCTGTGTAGCCCCTAGTCATTTGTAGAACATGTTCACATATGTTTTCATTTTGCCCTCTCAATAATCCTGTGAGATAAGCAGGAATTCCTGCTTTTTAAAAAAATTATTTAGAGATAGGATCTCACTCTGTCACCCAGGCTAGAGTGCAGTGGTACAACCACAGCTTACTGCAGCCTCGAACTCCTGGGCTCAAGTGATCCTTCTGCCTCAGCCTCCTGAGTAGCTGGTACTACAAATGCATGCCACCATGTCCAGTTCATTAAAAAAAAATTTTTTTTGTTATTGAGACAGGGTCTTGCTATGTTCCCCAGGCTGGTCTCAAACCCCCAGCTCAAGTGATCCTCCCATCTTGCCTCCCAAAGTGCAGGAATTAAAGACATGAACCACCATGTCTTGCCTCTGGCTTTTAAGTAAACAAACTGAGGATAATAGTGGCAGGAAAACAGCAACACTGGGACTGGAATCCAGAGTGTGAGAATCCAGGAACTCCCTTCCACAGCGGGGCTGTGGAGAGCACATTCAAGGAAACAAATCTGTCTCAGTAGATAGCACTCATTAGTCTAGGATGCTTCACTGAGCACTGATGGTGTGCCCTGTGTGGTTGTCCCTAATGGCTGAGAGGATAGTACCAAGCTACTGAGGATACTTCCTAAATCGGTAGATCATTCCAGAGCCTTCAGTTTCATTTATTTGAATTGATAAATCCTCCTAGGCCCTACTTAGAAAATCAAAGAGGCTATTTATTCAGATGATAAGGTCTGTGCAATAACTAAGTACCAGATATTTGTGTTTCTTTGGGCATTTCAGAGGCAGTACTAATTAAAACAATTTTCCCAGAATCAGGCTGACATCAATCACAGAAGCTGTACAGAGATGACCTAACCTAATGACGGCCTTCATGAAGTGAAGCTGTTAAATGAAAGAGTCACATTAAACTCAGCTGCATTATGAATACAGAGACAGAAAAAAAAAATCCAATTTTACTAGATGAGAAAAAAAAAATAAGCAGAGCAGGAAATATCTACTTTAACTTCTAAGAGGATACAACAGAGCCAAAAGATATAAATTATCATTCTAAGTTAGGACACTTGATAATGACTTTTTAATTGATTTTTTGCAAAAGGATGTCTTAGTAGTTACTTTGGAATTCCACTTTGAATTTATGTTTATTTCAATTTATGGATGTGGTGAACTCTCAGATTCAACAAACATGGATATCTTTAGCTT